ACACACACACACACACACACACACACACACACACACACACACACACACACACACACACACTCCTGATTCAGTTGCTGTGATTCCTTCTTATGTCTTAAATGTGATTTTGTCCTAAACATTGATTGGATTAATGAAGTTAAAGTTGCTGATTCTCCCTTTTTAAATGTGTTTTTGGGAAGAATTTGTTCTCATCATTCTGCAACAACAACAAAAGAAAACCAATACTGTACTTTTATGCCAGTACGGACGTAAAATAGGTCTCAAATTGCATTCGTAATGCTCTTTAAAAGTCTTACATTTAATTCAATAAGACAGTAATTGAACATAAACGTTGTCGTCTTCCTGCAGAGAGAGTCAGTAAATCCAACAGTCGGCTGGTGGAGAGGACCACTCCGCCCATCAGAAGCAGGTAACGATCAATCAGTGATCTCATGTGCACACTTTGACCTCTGACCTGCTTCTATATTCTTCTCTTTTTGGTTGTTGTTGTTTTACGAAACATGTGTGCACGACTGTGTGCGTGTGCATGTGTATGGCGTGTGTGTGTGTGTGTGTGTTACCCTTTCTGTAGTCCTGTGTTGAAGGTGAATGTGGATCCACTCCGCTCCTCCCCGCTTCTGAGCTCCCAGGAACCTCCACACGGTATTACACTGCACACACACACACACACACACACACACACACACACACACACACACACAGAGATAGAGTAGGTGGTGTGAGGAGCTACTTGTGCTTCGACACCGTCACAGTGTTTAGATAAAAACACAGAGGCACTGCCTGAGGAGGCGTGGATCTTTGGATGTTGATCGCCGTCTCATGGGAGTGTTTCTGTAATCGTACACTGACTCAGTCTCATGCTTCTCATTGACGTGTTCGCTTGTCAGTCTCGGTGTAATATCCGCTAATGAAAAACGACGCTGTCAGTCAGCGGAGGGATTAAAGATTCAAATGTCACCATCGGGATTTGATTTAGGGATACACTCGATTAATCTGTGATCAATTATTCAGTCCCCTCCAGCGATGTCGCAACTACTAATGTAAATTGAACCAATCTCACCAATCATAGCAGTTCCCCCGGAGCAAAACGCTGAAACGTTGTCTTCAGTTTTTTATGTATTATCCAATAAATGCAACAAATTTTTGCAATTTTCACTTCCTTCCGTAATTTGAATGCAAAAGAAATTGCAATTTTTTTAGAAAAGCTTCTGTGAAATCAGGAATTTTAGGCCACAACAATCCTCCCAAAAAAGCCAGTGAAATCCTGGAGGCAGTGTCAGTGGTCTATTATTCATATTAACAATTAACATCCATCAGTTTTATTCTCGGGTAGTGTTACGCCTTGTGATGGACAGTAACTTAAGTAACTAAGTATTGTACTTTAATACAATTTTGAGGTAGTACTTGATTATTTCCATTTTCTGCTACTTCATATTTAATATAAATATTGTACTTTTTAGTCCACTACATTTATTCTATAACTAAATTTAGTTAAAAATATAATCAACAAATAAATTATGATTATATTATTATGGATCAACTTGGTTTAAATGCCCTAACCAGCTTATGTAAGATCATTAGAATTAACTCAACTTTTACCAGCGGCAACATTAAAATTATGTGTTAACTGCTACTTTTACTTAAAGTAACTTCTGTATTTTTCAGACTGGACCTTATTTTTTATTATTTTTTGCTGAAATTGGTTCAGTTTTTATAGCCGCAATGTAATCCTTATGGGCGATTGTGCGACCACTGTCCACAGATTGTTACTGTCAAGTGTCTACCAACATTATAGAGAGGACCCTACAGAGAAAGACCTTTTTGTTTAACCAGAAACAGCTGTTATATCGCTCTGTTCAAAGCCACCAGACATTTTACATGCCAACATAGTAACACTTCATTTTATAAAACATTTGGTTTGTCTTTCCACTGTCCCAACAATCACTCTAAACTCTGGGTTGGATGAAATACATTCACAGAGTTACAAAAACATTGGAAAGTAGGGTTGAGGTTGAAAACTACTGAAGTTATCCTTTAAGTAAAATACCCGAGTACTTCTTCCTCCACTGTTTACTTCCCCGTCTACAGCGATAGGAGCGCAACATAAAAGTTAAAAGTTCGCTCCGCCCTCGCCGGTACAAAAGTCTTCATTTAAAGTAAACTGAAGCAGCAGTCTACAGTTCAGGGTGAACCAAGGCCAAAAAAAACAAGCAAAAGAATCTCCTCAGAAAGTGCTGACTAACCAGACATCAAACAAACAAACAAACAAACAAATAGACATTCACTAAACGCGACTCCCACAACACAGGAGACAACAGCAGCTCCATTCGTAAGAAGACTCAGGGTAAGGACGAGTATTGAGGCTCACTGTTAGACTTTATAATGGAGGTATATATACAACCTTTATATAATCAGGTAGTCTCACTGACATCAAACACACACAGACAGCATTAGTCACACAATCTCTCAAAAGGTCCAGAATTAAAAGTTGAACTTTATCCAATGGGATGAGACTTTGAAATCTCGATGTCCTCTGAAGTTCTTTCCATTTATATGGCGTTCTGAGTTCGCTGTTTCCTCGTGGGGTGTCCTGGATGTGGTCAGATGTGATGTGATACACTGAGGCAGCCTCAGTCGGAGACTCTTACATACACTAATGATAATGTGTAGCTCTCGAATTGACAGCCCCTCGCTTCGCACAGCTTTCAATCAGACTCAACTTCGAGGCTCTCCAGTGTTCAGGAAGGATTCGTTCCGGAGATATCGAGCTCCCACAGTTTGTTTACAGCGCTAACCCACATTATTTCCTTTTTTAAGATTACTTTTGGGCATTTATTTGTACCTTTATTGGACAGTGATAATAAAGAAACAGACAGGAAGCGAGGGAGAGAAAGGGGGCGTTGCACTGTAACCTTTCGGCCCCCGAGGCGCTCCACCCGGGCTATTTCCTGTCCCCCTTCTGCTTTTTGCCAAACCACACGAGTTCATTTCACCCGGCGAAATCCGCTATGAGTGCAGCTTTAGAAAAAAACACAAGCACCTGCATGAGTGAGCAAATGTTGTTTTAAAATGAAGTGTGAAGGTTAATCAGATCCCAAAACAAAAAGACTCTTGACACAGCTGGAAATTAGTATTATTATTATTGTAAATGATTTTATCTTTCAACCATTTGATGGTGAGGTTAACACGGATGACGCTGCAGCGCTCACCGCGTCTTCTGCTCAGAGTTCATCTGAGTTCATGACACTGTTTGGAAATAATGATCATCCTCTGTATTAATCTGAGCTGCTACAGGCTCCCTCACACACACCTTTACACCCACCGCACTGACATTACTATGTAAACCCTTCTGGGGAATTTGGTTTGCCTGCAGTGTTTTTAATGCAGCCTTATCGTTATTATTATTATTACTTTTTAATGATTGTATTTCAGTGTACTGTTTCTGTCTGGGTTATGGATTCATGCTGCCACCGGATTGCCCTTTGGGTTTAAAATAAAGACGGTACTGAAGTGAAGTGACTAAACGCTCACAGTCTACAGTCACAGAGAAGTTTATAAATAATAACTTCCACAGGGACTTCGTCTTTAGTAGATTTTGTGCAGTGGAAGATTGATTTTGTGAATCGCTAAGCAGAATAATAAACACTTTCTTTTTTTTTCTGTTTTCTCTCACAGAAACCACAACCCGCCTCAGCAGAGATCAAACCACAGGTTGCTCTTACTTCTACAGGTAACACAAACACACACCTTTTGTTCTGCTATACTTATAGACCCTCATTTACATACTGGATTCATAGGACCAGAACCTGATTCTGTCCTTAATCCTGAAACCATCAAACTGTGTAAAGATACCAGTGCAGCATTAAAAATGTATTTTTCCTTCCTGTAATTAACTGTAGACAAAATCACTAAACAAACCTATGAACCCCCCCCACAGGTGTCATGTGTGTGGGTTTGAGACAGATGGGCGGGCCCTTTTCCAGAGTCACATGACAGAACACCGCCAGTGGGAGCACGCCTCCTTCTCGCTGCACTGCTGCGTGTGCGACCACTCGACCAATCAGGAGGCAGAGATGAGGGCTCACGCCAACACGCACCTGCAGGGGAACATAGGAGCCAGCGTAGAGATGAGGTGGGCTCACTTTAAAGTGTGTGTGTGTGTGTGTGTGTGTGTGTGTGTGTGTGTGTGTCTGTTAGGTAGAGTTTGGTATTAAAAGCTGTAACCGACGTTCAGTATGCGACAGTTAATTAATAAATAATCTCTTATTTGTAAGAACATTTTTGAGAAACAATCGTAATGTTAGAAGTAATAAATGTATGTACAGTGAATATTTAGTTGTAAATACAGACTTTATTGACTTTATTATATGTATTATACTTTATGTTCTTTTTTTCTTGTAATGTTTTGACTTTATTCTTGAAATTACAACTTTATTTTAAAAAATACCAATAACATCAAGACTTTTTTTTCTCAAAAATGAAATTTTATTCCCATAACATTAAAGAATTTTAATTTAAATATCGTAAACTCACTTTTTTTTAAATCACACAACATTTTACAGTTAAAAAAAAACTCTTTTGACGTCAATTAACCTCCAAAATATCGTTTCTGTGCTGCAGTTTCTTGTTAATTATCAGACAAACACAGTGATAAACTAACTGTACTGAGCCAATATTGGCAGATTGATCGGTCAGACTGTAGCAGGAAAGTAAATGTTTATAAAAAATCTATTAGGATAAACATTAATTTACCAATTGCACTGCTTTGTTTTTATAGTCCAACCTCCCAGTGACTCATTAAAAATACACACTGCGTACTAATCTTTATATTATAAGGTTAAATTATAACACACTGCCATTTTGTACAGTTAGGAAATTATACACAACTAAAAGATTTAACACAATAACAACAATAACGACGGCTCCGCTCTATTCGAGTGTCCCAGTAAGCTGTGACAGTGAGCTATAGCACAACACCAGGACCTTGAAACTGAAGCAGCTAAATGGAATGCAGCCGCCATCGACTGTATTGTTCACACCCGTGTGGATGGGTAACCTCTCCCAGTACAGCCCCCGTTCTTCTTTAACCTGAGCAGTGGTCCAATCAGACGGATAAATGATGACAAATAAAGGATTAATTAGGCTGCATTCATTACGCTGTGCAGTACATCCGGTTTGTGGGCTGGCAGCAGACAAATGGAGCCAATCCGGGCGTATTTAATGGATCGATATCGGGTAAAATAAAGCCGATGAATATCTTCACTGTGCTCCTATTTCACAGCAGCCATTGTCACATGAAGTAGTAGAAGAAGTAGAGTTCCTAAAACAATAAATAAACCTCTGCCACGAATAGTCAGTATCACTAAACATAATATATAAAACGATCCAGCTGATCAGATCAGATTGTCCCAGTTTCATATCGTATCAATAATTTAAGCTTATAGACTAAATAGTTTCTAACCAGGACCTGGAGCAGGACAGCTGTTCCTGTGTCAGATTCATATTCAGCATTCAGATAATCTGAAGTACCGTCTGATATTAACGGAGTTGGATCGGGATCATGGCGTTGTGATCAGGAAGGGACTGATCAGTAATGATTGTGTGTGAAGGAATGTGTGTGTGTGTGTGTGTGTGTGTGTGTGTGTGTGTGCGTTATTAACCCCCCCTCCCCTCCCCTCTCTGACTCCTAGATGCCCCAGCGCCCCTCCTGCCGCTGCCGCCTCCAGCAGCGCTCCGTCAGTTGCCATGGCAACCCAGCCAGAGAATAGCACCTCTGAGCATCGCTGCCGCATCTGCCAGAGGTCGTTTCCAGGGCAACAGGAGCTATTGGTTCACTTCCAGGGTCATCGCCAAGGCAACCAGTACCGGTGCGACCGGTGCGGCCACCTGACGCGGACAGCCAACAAGCTGGTGGAGCACGTGCGCGTGCACACGGGGGAGCGTCCGTTCACCTGCGACCTCTGCCCGTACAGCGCCAAGCGGCGGGACAGTCTGCGCCTGCACTGCAAGGTCAAACACCCCGGCGACGTGCACACGCACCGGTCGTACGTGCACGGAGACAATCAGCGCTCAAACAAACACGTTCAGCGGCTGCACACACCGCCGAGCACACACACTGCTGCACCTTCCTCCTCCTCCTCCTCCCTCTCTTCCTCCTCTTCATCCCTCGCTCTCTGACCGCGCAGGATGGAGGGATTTGTCTCCTCTCCTCCCCATCACAACGCTCATTTCTCTGAAACCACGCTCCCCTTCATCCTCCTCCTCCTCCTCGTCTTCCTCCACCAAACACTCCTTTCTCGGTTACCTTGGTCTGACGACTTCTTTATAAACGCTTTCTGTTTCTCCTCCTCCTTCTCTCTTCTCCTCGTCCTCTATCTCCTCCCCTGTTCCTGTCTCCTTCCACCTCTTTTCCTCTCCGCCGTCTTTCTTTCCTCTACTCTCCTCCTCTCTTTGTCTTTTCTTCTCCTCTCCTCTCCCTCCTCTTCTTGATTCCTTGCATATATTTTGCCCTCCTTCTATTTTACTCTGCTCTCTGTTTCCTCTCCTCCTCTTTCCTCTCCTCCTCCTCTTCTATCCATCCTCTGGACTTTTAAAGTGATGGATGTAAAGCTCTGTAATGTATCCAAGGTACTGTCACTCAAACACTATGTATGAGAATGTCAATCAGCTACTGTTATGCTCAATGCACTGAAAACACACAGATAAGGAACGTTTTGAATTTATTCGAGTTTTTGCATCATGCTCGTGATTTTTGCTGCATTCCTGCCTGCTTTTAGTCGGTCATATAATCACTGAACTCTTAGCTATTTAACCGTGTGACATATTTATTGCCTGTCTCTCTCGTCCTTCAGAAACCCCGCACTTAGAAAATCCTCCCGTCACCAGAGGCTTCACTCCATCGATCACCTATTGATTCTGTTGATTTATAATCGCAGGGAAAATCACTGCTGAGAGAAAAGATTAGCCCGGGTGGTGAGAAAGTTTCACCTGTTACATAGTGCCACGCTTCTTACAGTGATAATAAAGCAGTTTATAACCGGGGGTGACAGGTCATTACCGTCCTGTTTTACATGTTTTAAGGGTTTTTTTTTGTGCCAAACTTGATTTCTTTTTCCTCTCTTTAAATCCTGGAAATGTAGTTGGAGCTCCATCCAGCTTCACCGGGTTTAACAACTTCAAGTTAAATGATTTGAAATCAGCTTTATGGCAGTTAACCGATTAATCATTGATGAAAAATGTCCAGAAAGTTGCTTATTTCATCCGTCCAAAACCAAATATTGTGTTTACTATCATAGAAGTGTCAGTATTCACGTTTGAGAAGCTGGAACTGTTGAATGTTTGCTTAGAAAATGTTATGAATTCATTATTAATCAAAATCTGATGGTTTACTCACTTTTCCGTTTTCTTCTGTTTTGAGGATTTTTGCAGGTTGACGGTTTCTGGAGGACAGTGATGATATTTCTAATATTTGTGTTGTATATTGATAATGTATTTGTGTTTACATAACTACATGGGGCTCCTAAGAGTCTAAAATGTCTTAATTTAAAGTTGCACTATATGTAGTTTTGCTGAGACAAAAAAAGACTCATTTTAGAATACGTAAGCCTTTTTTTTGTTTTTTTAAACACTCGTCACAAAACCAGAAAGTTTAAAAAGCTTCTCTCCAGTGTTATTTCACAACACACAGTATGATACAACTGATCCAGGAGGTCGGCAGTGGGCGGGGCCAAAGACTGAACTTTTTAACAGCTAAAATATTTTATTTAATGCGTATTATTTATTATATTACGGAGGCCGTGAGGTGTCATGGAGGAAAAATACTAGTTTAGTAATTCGTGCTCTGGATTTAATATCATATTGTTAAGAAGAAGAAGGGAAGAGGGACACAACACCGGTTAAATGCAAAAGAATAAACTGTATGTACAAAAGAAGAAAGACTTAGAAGAATAGATTTGGGATCACTGAGCAAAACAGTAACAGGACCCATAATGTAACTTATAACTATATCAAACATTCAGCTTCCTCTCTTGTAGAGTGGAATAAATAAAATAAATAAAAGTGCCACAGAGTAAAAATACTCTATTACAGGTAAAAGTCCTACCTAAATAAAATAAATCTACTTACAGTATCAAAAGTACATGTTACTGCTGCAGCTGCTCTTAATGGAGCTGGTTTGAATTTCTTTACATACAGTTAACTAGTTTAGTCTAGTGGTTCCCAACTGAGGGTTTGGGCCCCTCCAAAGGGTCACCAGATAAATCTGAGAGGTCGTAGGATGATTAAAAAAAAGTTTGGATACACAAATTAGTTTTTCCAGTTTTTGGACTTTTCTTTAATCTTTGATTTTTATTTAACAATAATTTAAAGTGGATATAAAGTTGAGAAAGTTAGTTTGGAACTGAAACATAACAAAGGGCCCCAACTAGACAGTAAGCCTTAAACATAGTGTATTTTATAAACTAGAAGAATAGATATAAAGTTGCATTGAACGGAAATACTCAAGTGAAGTACAAGTAACACAAAATTGCAGTTAAGTTCAGTACTTGAAGACATTTCTTCAATAAAGTGACGGCATTACTTACGTCCGTTATCCTGTTAATAAATTTAAGGGATTCCAAGAAAAAGATGAAATAAAACCGTATTAAATCCACAGTGAGTCTGGAGGATACGTGTATGAAGGTGGAAGGTTTAATCATAACAATTAATCTGTTTATTTTTCTCCTTGACACCTCCCGGACTCCGTATTTACACGGAGAAGCAGTGTAATCTTTTTTTTTTACATTGAAGCTCATGCGTACAATCTTTCACGTGTAACACGAATGCAGCATCAGCCCTGTGAGATAACACGACCTTCGATCATCAGGATACGCCACCGCCCTTTTTGTCCCGGCATCGACGTGCGTCAACGCTCCAGAAACATTAACACGTCAGTCGATGCGACGCTCCACGAGTGGCGTCAACAGTGATGTCACAGAGCACCGGAGTACACCTGTGTGTCACTGCAGCGAGCGGACATGTTGAACAACTGGAGGTCAGCAAAGAGAGAGACTTTGTTTAAAAGTTTGGACCCTTTTGTTGGAGTGAATGTTGCATTACCTCTGCTGCACACTGAGGCAGGGATAGAAGCTAGCTGGCTGAAGAAGATCTTTTAAGTGTTCACGACGGGAAGATTTAATGGCGTCCGCACCAAGAACGATATCTACAACGAGAACTATAAAGATATTGTTTTAAAACCCGTCCAGACTACAGCTGTAAGGCGAGCGATAGCGTTGGGATCACTTTAAACGCTTATATAACTTTATTTTAGGCTGCAAATTACACATTAAAACATAATTTTACCTGAAAACAGCCGAACTGTCTTAGGTGAAAAAGGATTAATTCAGTACGAATAAAATGTGTCATCAGAAGACGACAGCTCTCGTAAGTGTTGGATTCTCCTAACCCCTCTCGTCTCTGAAGAACTTCGTGAACCCACTTTATGTTTGTTTCTCTGTGTTGAGCAGTCGACACACTGGAGAGCAGCACGTTGGGTCACTGTTTACACGTTATTGTTCTCGGTGTGGACGGCCATTTACTCCCTCATATTATCAATAATTATTAGATTAGTTGTTTTATTTACTGTTTCAGTGACGATGATGAAAGGATATCACTACAGGGAAAATAACTCAAACATAACATTGATTTCTAATTAATTTTCTGTATTTATTACTTGTATTGCTTGATTTTATGTGATATATATATATTGTGTATTATTAGTAGCTTACAAACCGCCAACCTCCTCGCTAACAAGCTAACGTTTAGCTCAAGTGAGCAGAAGAGCTAACGATACGATACACAATACAGTTTGCACATTAGAACAAATAAAGGTTTAATTAAAATCTTTTTATTGGTTTCTTTATTGACGTATGAGGTTTAATCTAACTTATTTAATAATAATAATAATGATAAAGTTGCACAGAGTAGCAGCTGAAGACGTGCAGTAGAGGTAATCCTGATCCTGGGAAACAATCCGGTTTCAACTTCAACCTGAAACCACACGGAGCAGCTACAGTAGAAGAACCTGCACACGGGTTTCTATATGAAACGTATCTCGGATCAATGGTGCTAGACTCTGCAGAGCCCGAGAGCTGATGTATTTCTGTTTCATTTAAACCACAAAAACACACGAAGAAGCGTGAAACACAAAAACCTCGCCACCTTTTCGAAGCTCGTGACCATCTCGGATCTTCTCCCTCTCACATTATTTGCTTTAATCTTTCCTTTTTAGTTTTTTTACTTTCATTTTGTATCTGCTGTATCCTGTTACTGTTTGCTGCTGCAATGATCAATAAAGTTTAATTTAATCTGACTCACCTCTACTCACACCTCGTCTTTACTCAAATGTACTCACGCGCCCGAGTGCCGGGAGATCGTGTTACACTACGAGAATGGGTGCTAAAGAAACCCAACCTGTTCACTCTGTGCAAAGATTGTACTCACTGTAAGCAGCAGTGGCACTCACTGGTTCTAGTGCACAGCCGCTGTTTAATACTCACTGGTTCTAGTGCACGGCCGCTGTTTAATACTCACTGGTTCTAGTGCACGGGCGCTGTTTAATACTCACTGGTTCTAGTGCACGGCCGCTGTTTAATACTCACTGGTTCTAGTGCACGGGCGCTGTTTAATACTCACTGGTTCTAGTGCACAGACACTGTTTAATACTCACTGGTTCTAGTGCACGGCAGCTGTTTAATACTCACTGGTTCTAGTGCACGGCCACTGTTTAATACTCACTGGTTCTAGTGCACGGCCACTGTTTAATACTCACTGGTTCTAGTGCACGGCGGCTGTTTAATACTCACTGGTTCTAGTGCACAGCCACTGTTTAATACTCACTGGTTCTAGTGCACGGCAGCTGTTTAATACTCACTGGTTCTAGTGCACGGCCGCTGTTTATACTCACTGGTTCTAGTGGGCGCTGTTTAATACTCACTGGTTGTGCACGCGCTGTTAAATACTACTGGTGGGGGTGTTATACTCTGGTTTGTGCACGCAGCTGTTTAATACTCACTGGTCGGGGCGCTGTTATACACTGGTTCGGACGGCCGCTGTTTATACTCACTGGTTCGGGCGCTGTTTATACCTGGTTTGGACGGGCTTTTATATCACTGGTTCTGTGACGGCGCTGTTTAATACTCACTGGTTCGTGACAGCCACTGTTTAATACTCACTGGTTTGTGCACGCACTGTTTATACCTGGTTTGTGACGCGCTTTTAATACTACTGGTTCTGTGCACACACTTTAATACTCACTGGTCTGTGCAGGCGGCTGTTTAATACTCACTGGTTCTAGTGCACGGCCACTGTTTAATACTCACTGGTCTAGTGACGGCCACTGTTTATATCACTGGTTCTAGTGCACAGCCACTGTTTATATACTGGTTCTAGTGCACAGCCACTGTTTAATACTCACTGGTTCTAGTGCACAGACACTGTTTATTCACTGGTTTGGCGGCCACTGTTTATACTCCTGGTTCTGTGCCACACTGTTAATACTCACTGGTTCGTGCACGGCGCTGTTTAATACTCACTGGTTCTAGTGCACGGCCACTGTTTAATACTCACTGGTTCTAGTGCACAGCCACTGTTTAATACTCACTGGTTCTAGTGCACAGCCACTGTTTAATACTCACTGGTTCTAGTGCACGGCCGCTGTTTAATACTCACTGGTTCTAGTGCACGGCCGCTGTTTAATACTCACTGGTTCTAGTGCACGGCGCTGTTTAATACTCACTGGTTCTAGTGCACAGCCACTGTTTAATACTCACTGGTTCTAGTGCACGGCGCTGTTTAATACTCACTGGTTCTAGTGCACAGCCACTGTTTAATACTCACTGGTTCTAGTGCACGGCACTGTTTAATACTCACTGGTTCTAGTGCACAGGCTGTTTAATACTCACTGGTTCTAGTGACAGACACTGTTTAATACTCACTGGTTCTAGTGCACGGCGCTGTTTAATACTCACTGGTTTGTGCGCACGGTTTATACTACTGGTTCTAGTGTGTTAAACCTTTTAATACTCACTGGGCACTGTTTAATACTCACTGGTTCTAGTGCACGGCCGCTGTTTAATACTCACTGGTTCTAGTGCACGGCCGCTGTTTAATACTCACTGGTTCTAGTGCACAGACACTGTTTAATACTCACTGGTTCTAGTGCACAGCCGCTGTTTAATACTCACTGGTTCTAGTGCACAGCCGCTGTTTAATACTCACTGGTTCTAGTGCACAGACACTGTTTAATACTCACTGGTTCTAGTGCACAGCCGCTGTTTAATACTCACTGGTTCTAGTGCACGGCGCTGTTTATACTCACTGGTTCTAGTGCACGGCCGCTGTTTAATACCACTGGTTCTGTGCACGCTGTTTAATACTCACTGGTTCTAGTGCCGGCGCTGTTTATACTCACTGGTTCTGTGCGCCCTGTTTATACTCACTGGTTCTGTGCGGCCGTGTTTTACTCCTGGTTCTGTGCGGGCTGTTTCCTGGTTTGTGGGGCTGTTTATACTCCTGGTTCTGTGCCTGTTTAATACTCACTGGTTCTAGTGCACTGCGCTGTTTAATACTATAGAGTCAGCTGAGAGGATCTGAATACAAAAATCTCTCCGATTGGATCAGAAAACGAGAGAAAAACTGAGAGTTTAAGAGGCATTTTAGAGAGAAATCAGGGATGAAGGTCACACGCCACACTCACCAAACGAGTGGGAGGATAAGTGTCAATCGCCATGGGCCCTGTCCCCCTCCTCGGCGGTTGCCACGGTTACCTGGCATGTTGTAGGTCTCCATGGCGGCAAGCAGGGGGCCCGTCCATTGGCTGGGAGCAGCTCCGGCCTTGGCGAATCATCGGGCGGCGTGAAAGGCTCGGGGAGGGCGAAGAAAGGAAGAAAAAACACATGCACACAAAGGTCATTATTAGATTTTGCTAAATGGCATTACAGGAGAGGAGAGGAGAGGGGAGGGGAGGGGAGGGGAGGTGAGAAGGGAGGAAGAAGAGCTGACGTGTGGAGGGAGGAAGATAAGAGGAGGAGGAGGAGGTGAAGAAAGGGTGTGAGAGAGGAAACCAGGAGGAGGAAGTGAAAATGAGATAAAGAGCAGGTGAAGAAGAGGTCAAGGAGGTATAAAAGAGGAGGAGGAGGAGTTCATAGAGACGATCACTTTCTTTCTTCTCTTTGGCCCAAAGGTCAGGGGTCAAACGGGCTGAGGGAGAGAGAGACACGGCCGTTAGATGTTCTGATATTTTCCATCAGGGTGAGTGTCAGACGTTACGGAGGCAAAATAAATGAGTAAAGAAATCACCAATAATTCTATTTACAGCATTAAAAAACATGATTTCACAGTTTGACAGGAAGGAAACGTGTTTATTTGTTTTCTTGGTGAGCGTTAGATGTTCCGGTTGACTCCGCTCTCATGTCTGTCCCGCTTAGCTTAGCTTAGCATAAAGACTGGAAACAGGGGGAAACAGTTAGCCTCGCATTGAAAACAAGACTTTAGGAAGTCAGACAAACTTGTTCTTTACATTTAAGTTGCTACCCCTAGTGGTAGAATCTAAGTATACCGTAAAACTTCTAATAATAATAAATCACTGAACTCCCCCTGCCTCTATTTGGGACAGGCCTTTATTGGGGACAGGCCTTTAATTCCTTTAAACTAAACTAAACTCTAACTGCTGCTTCTCTTGAGATTTTGTTCAACTAACATGATGATTGTGATGCTTCAGAGGTCTCTCTTGTTTACCGTGTTACCGGTAAGTCCGAATGAATTAACGTTTTACTTTGTTGTTTTAGTAAAATATATTGAACGATTGAGTTGTGGAGAATCTATAACTGATTAATGACGTTCATTATGAACATACTGACAGAAGTTTAAACATTTATATTTGTGTAGGAGATTAAAACGACTTAAAACTCTCTCAAGCAGGCGACCTGGTGGATTTTAAGAGGTTTTATACATCGAGATAATTTCTATAAAATCCAGACCAGGCCTCTATTGGAGACCTGCCACACCAGGCTTTTAAAAGAGACCTGCGTCTATTAGGGACTCTGCTTTTATTGGACGTTTTACGGTATATAAATATAACTTCATTTGAAAAACACATTACTATCAAAATACTTGAGATTGCTGAAATATATTTTAAAATAAGCTTTAAAATTAACAATACGAGCCCGCTACGTACTCACGTTCAATGCTTCATCACGCACGTATACATCCATGATTAGTTTCAGGCTAAAATCTGATGCTAAGCTAGCAGGCAACAACACACAATCCTGGATCCAAACAGGAACTATCAGGAGGAGAACGCCTGGACCAGGAGGGACCCCCTTTACCACCATCACAGGTTCCATGTCTGTGAGAGGAAGGACCAGAGGATGAGCTGAATCCAGATCAGTGGTCACATTACACACACACACACACACACACACACACACACACACACACACACACACACACACACACACACACACACACACACATGCACGCTGTGTTAGCCAACACCCAATGTCTCTTTGCCTCTTTGCACTCTGCAGGACTGAAAATCAATAACTGCTGTGTGTGACAGGAAGAGATGGAAGAACCACAGAAGGCCGGAGAAAGGGAGAGAAAGGGAGGGATGAGAGGAGGAGGAGGAAGAGGAGGAGGAGGAGGAGGAGGAGGAGGGAGAGTTCAGCTGAAGCCACAGAAGGATGGAGAGAAGGAAGGAAGCACCATAGAAGGATTAATGGAGGAGAAACAACTTACACTTTAATTAATGTAAGAGGATGAAGTCATGGGTGGAGGAAGTACTCAGATCCTTGACTTACTTAAAAGTACTAATACTGAATACTGAAGTCAAAGTATTATAAGTATTATAAATATTATAAGTATTATAAGTATTATAAATATTATAAGTATTATAAATATTATAAGTATTATAAATATTATAAGTATTATAAGTATTATAAATATTATAAGTATTATAAATATTATAAGTATTATAAGTATTATAAGTATTATAAATATTATAAGTATTATAAGTATTATAAGTATTATAAATATTATAAGTATTATAAATATTATAAATATTATAAGTATTATAAGTATTATAAATATTATAAGTATTATAAGTATTATAAGTATTATAAATATTATAAATATTATAAGTATTATAAAATTATAAGTATTATAAATATTATAAGTATTATAAGTATTATAAATATTATAAATATTATAAATATTATAAGTATTATAAATATTATAAGTATTATAAATATTATAAGTATTATAAGTATTATAAATATTATAAGTATTATAAGTATTATAAGTTTATAAGTATTATAAATATTATAAGTATTATAAGTATTATAAATATTATAAGTATTATAAATATTATAAATATTATAAGTATTATAAGGAAAATGAACTCAATGTATTAAAATTAACTGAATTTTTAAAACATTTGCTTTCAATATTCTTGTTTCTGAGCAGCTGTTGTAACAATTTCCTAAAATATTTCCAGGAATAAGTTTGTAATTTAATACTAATTAAAGGGAAAATAGTTTTATTGTATTATTATAAACTATTTCTACATGTCCAACAGACCTGATTGAACATTTCCTTTATAATCAGGAACAAACCACACAAACCTTTTAGGGAATATTTGGATAAAATCTATATTCAGTATTAATTCAATATCATCTTTCACCGTGTTTTTTAAAGAATGTCATTTTCCGGTTTCCCTAACTCCGTGCAGCTTGATGCGGCCCACGGTGGGCGGGGTCGTGCGGGGTTTCCACGCTGTTTTTGTCCCCCTCTTATCCACCACGTGGAGCTCTGGGCTCGTGATGTGACAGTGTTGCCCCGCAGATCAAACTTACCGGGTAAAACACGCACAGGGTAGCACGTGTTCCTCTTTACCACGCATTGTTTATGGTATTAAATGTTTGTCTGGGAAGTATAAGAAGTAGGCAAGGCTTTTATTTTGATAGCAAATGTCGGGGACACTAACAGGAAATGTTTTATTTTGAAAAACAGAAAATCGTTTTTTTTTGTATTCAATAAAATATTACATTTTTATTCTCTGTAGAAGTTGTTTTAGTATTTAAACATGCGATCAGTCGTTATACGTTATTCTAGTGGTGTTGAACGCGTTTATTTTGAAAAAAACAAATCAGTTTTTATATTTTCGTGTATTTATTTTTTTTTTTGTATACTTTATTTTTTACCTTCTATTTTATTTTAAACTCCATTCTTACGGTTAAGGATTTAACTTGTATATGCATGCTCTGTATGTGTGTATGCCACTGGATAAAGCATCCATCCCGCCGTCTACCCATCTTTATTTTGGTGGGAAAACCGGAAACGCTGCGTCGCGACGTGCCTCCAGTTGACGCCGCGGAGGAAGAAAGGGGGCGTGGTCTCCGCCCGTTGGTTAGCCCCGGCTGCTAACGCGGAGCTAAAGTTTCCCGCACTACTTTCACTTTGTGACAGTTCGGGAATAAACACCGAGTCCGGCGATGACCGCGGCTTCTTCCTGGAAAACGAAACCAGCCGCCGCCATTGTTTGTTTGTTCGTGCCTGCCTCTGCCTGCCTGCGCTCGGCTCGTAGATGCGGACGTTTGAGTGACATTTAACGGCTGTTATCGATCACTTGTAGCCGTTTTAAAGATTTTTTTTTTTTTTTTAGCCGTTAAATAAACGGTTGAGGCACGCGCGGCTACCCCCCCCTCCTCCCCCTCCTCCCCCTTCCTCCCCCCTCCGGTGTTAGCATGGACGGCGGCGGAAACATGCAGAGTCCTGAGGAGCGGGGGGCCGAGAGGTTAATGGATGACTACCTGAAATCGATCGGTTTGCATCGGAAGAAGATTGCCAAAGACGGCTCGTGCTTGTTTCGGGCCGTCGCCGAGCAGGTAAAGTGACGTAAAGTGACACCTGCGGTCGGAAGGAGCTAACAGTCGGTAGCGTTAGCTTCAGGGAGGACAGGTGACTTTAACTGGGCTGTTTGTTGTTGTGAGCTAGCGAGGGTTAGCCCGGGTTAGCCCGGGTAAAAGCTTCAGGTTATCTCACTGTAAACATTCATAAACTGCACTTCACTGTGTCACTTCTTACACATTTACTTATATATTATATAATATAACGTCTTTACAGTCACATTTATATATTAAAACCTGTTTAAAGTCACATTTATATATTAAAACCTGTTTAAAGTGCTCATATAACTTGTTTTTATCTTTTTACTTTTTAAATTCTGTTTATAAACTTCACTTCAATGTGTAACTTTTTACAAATTAACTTGTATATTATATAATATAAGTCTTTACGTCATTTATATGTAAAAAACAGTTTAAAGTCACATTTATATATTAAAAGCTGTTTAAAGTGCTCATATAACTTCTGTTTTTATCTTTTTTCCACTTTTTTTAAATTCTGTTTATAAACTTCACTTCAATGTGTAACTTTTTACAAATTAACTTGTATATTATATAATATAAAGTCTTTACAGTCACATTTATATATAAAAAAGCAGTTTAAAGTCACATTTATATATAAAAAAGCTGTTTAAAGTCACATTTATATATAAAAAAGCAGTTTAAAGTCACATTTATATATAAAAAGCTGTTTAAAGTCACATTTATACATAAAAAAGCAGTTTAAAGTGCACATTTATATATAAAAAAGCTGTTTAAAGTGCACATTTATATATAAAAAAGCAGTTTAAAGTCAGATTTATATATAAAAAAGCAGTTTTAAGTCACATTTATATATAAAAAGCTGTTTAAAGTCACATTTATACATAAAAAAGCTGTTTAAAGTGCACATTTTTATATAAAAAGATGTTTAAAGTCACATTTATATATAAAAAGCAGTTTAAAGTCACATATATACATAAAAAAGCTGTTTAAAGTCTATTTATAACTGTAATGCTGCTGTAGAGAGTGAATCTTATTTCATATAAAGTGAGATGAGTTTTTAAAAGCTGGTTGAACAAGTCATAAACCCACATACGTCATACCCTTTAATGTCTGCCTGTTTCTGTGACCTTTGACCCCGTCTAGGTGCTGCATTGCCAGAGCCTCCACACTAAGGTTCGAGCCCGGTGTGTGGAGTTCCTGAAGCAGAACCGAGAGATCTACGAGGCGGTAAGCACCGAGACGGTCCAACCAACGGCCTTTAAAACCATTGCAGTGCTTTTATTTTGGATTGGAGAAGGTTGTTCAGTCCCTTTAATGTATGAATGAGTGAAATAAACTCAATCTGAAATGGGATATTATGATATTTTGTCTAAATAACACAAGCAAACACAGCTTTGTTGCAGTTATCCCTTCATTTGGACAACATATGATGTGTAATGTGGTTGAAAAGAGTGCAAAATAAATAATAAATCATCTTTTTGCTCACCTAAAACCAGTTTCTGTATTAAAATACACCTAAAATACTCCTAAAGAGACGATTAAAATAATTGTTAGTAATGTTTAGATGTTGCAAGCAACAGAAAGTGAGATCCAGGCGTCGCCGATCGAAGGTCAGACAGAAATCATTAATGATTGTGCAGCTGCGGGGGTGAGACAGCAGCTGCGGGGGTGAGACAGCAGGTTTTACGTTTGAGCTGAACTGAAACTGAAAGTTTTGATGTCTGATCGTTTCACTACATCTCCCAGAATGCCGTTCAGCAACCGTCTTCAGTCTGTTCTGGGCGTTCAGGTTGATGAATGTGACTCATTTTTAAACAGGGGGCGTGTTTGTGATTCTTTTTGTCGTCCTGCGTCGTCGCTGCAATGCATTCTGGTCTCTTTTTTTTGGGCTCCTCGAGGTGTCTTATCCCCATATTTAATTAGTTTCTCCCCGTATGTCGCGTGTGCTCCTTTCACTTTGACACTGAAAGCTACCTGTTGAAGTCGAGTCAAACTCCACTGGAGCTGCTCATGAGGTTATCTGGATGTGATGGAGGAAGAAGAAGAAGAAAACAGATAAATTACAGCCATAAATAAATAAATAAATAAATATAATATTTTTAAATATTACATAAAGAAATGTTGATATTTTGAGTTATCTTTGAGTTAGTTATTTTTACTCTAATAATTAATGCCCTGTTTTGCCTCTTTAAACGTGTTTGGGAGTTCAAACACAACATTTAAGTCTCTCTCTCTCTCTCTCTCTCTCTCTCTCTCTCTCTCTCAGTTCATTGAAGGTGACTTTGAGGATTACCTGTACAAGCTCCAGGACCCGCAGGTACGACGGGATGAATGATTCACAATGTTCTGTTTGCTTTAGTGATGTGTTAATAACTGACGTCTACGCAGTGATATATATTCATGGTGCTCTCTGTTTCTCAGCAATGGGTGGGAGAGGTGGAGATCAACGCGCTGGCTGTCATGTACAAGTAAGTAATCGTTTAAAATGTGCACCCATTAAAGAAACGGTGGGGTTTCTTCTTTAGAGCGATCATATTGGAAGTGTTCTCCATCAGCCGGATGCTACTTATCCAATGAAACAACAATAAAACAAAAATAAAACACTGAAAACTTAGAAATCCTAAAGTAGCTGAACAGGATAAGAAGTTAAAACAATGTGAATCTGACTCCTTATTCCTTCACACTGAGTTAAAAGTCAGATGTTGATGAGTCATTTCCCACATGTCACCCCTCTCTCTCTCTCTCTCCCTCTCTCTCTCTCTCTCTCTCTCTCTCTGTTCGTCTCTTTGTCTTCCTGTAGGAGGGATTTTCTGATCTTCCAGGAGCCCGGCAAACCAGCCGTCAACATCACAGACAACAACTTCAAGGACAAGGTGAGACTGAACACACACAGAATTTTAAAAGTAAAATTCAACACAAGTTCTACTTTAACCTTTTCTGTCGGATACTACAACTGTCAGTCTGAGCTGTGGAGACAATATTGGAGTCATTAAATTACTTTGTGATGAAGTGTTTCCCTCTCTAAGGGCAGTATGAGTAGGGAGCGGTGTTAATAAGAACAAAGCAGTGAATCAGAGGAGTGAAACTTTATTTTCCGATGGTTTCACGGCGGTTAACATGGCCGCACCTCCGCACAACCCTGCGGGAAGGAGCCCCAGTGCTTGACTTCGGGTCAGACAGACACAGGCCTGCAGCTCTTTATGCATCCACGACACAGACAGACGCCTAGAAACTTCCCAAATCCAACAAAATAATACGAAAATACAGGCAGAGATAAAGACAACGCCACACGCTTCTAATGGGTCATAAATGATGATTGAGAGGGATTCTGTTTGTATGAATCCAACAATATTCAGTTTTTTATAAAGTAGAACAACTAAAAGCAGGAACGAGTGAATTTAAGTCTCTTTTTCTTCAAACCTGACTGAAAAGATCACTTAATTAATTTACTGTCGATTGAATGATCATTTTTCTGCAGGTTTCAGTCATTTGTTTTCTTTCTTTGCACTTTAAATTCCCGACAGAAGCTCTGCCACGCCGACTTTTTAAAGGCTCTAACAGCGTTTGTTTGTTTGTTTGTTTGTCTCTCAGGTGCGGTTGTGTTTCCTGAACGGGAATCACTACGACAGCGTTTATCCCATCAGCCACATTAAGAACGCCGCTCTCTGCCAGTGTGAGTGTCCGTGCACAAATGTTTCTCAACCTGAGGCTCAACTGAACCTCAATCTGACAGCAGCACCAAATATTACCTGGATTCTGAGTGGATTTTAGTACAGTACAATATTATCTATGTTGGGATATCTACAAAATGTTAACTTAACTTAATTCTTACACTTGACAAACCAATGAAAACACTTTAAAAACACTTTAATGGTGTAGTTTTGTCCCAGTTTAAGTGTTAAATGTGTTTGACCGTGACGCTGCCAGCAGGTGGTGAAATCTCTGCCGTGGTTTGGTGAAATGTTGACATACAGTCAGACAGTAGATATTTGTCAACCATCAGAAATGTTGTCACACTCTTGTAGCAGCTGTTGCTTTGATATGTGGTTCTAGCTGTATGGATAATAAGGACTGCTTTATGGCGTATAAAGATATTTCAGTATAACATTATATAGACAATGCTGCCCCACAGAGGCAGAGAGCAGTAACTACAGCAGCAGTACAGAGACTCTCTCACTCTGCCTTTAGAGAATCACTTTTTTTTAGCTTCCTGATCCATTATAAGTAGTTTGTTTTAAGGAAATGAACTTTAGTTTGATTGTTTACAGTTAATAACTTAAAGTATTTCTGTGTTGTGCCGTTTCCACCCCAAAAATACGACCAATTCACATGAAATTCACTAGACTTAAATAAATAAAAGGAGTTATCTTTATGCTAAGTTTGTTTATTTAGGAGGAGTTTAGTTTGTTTTCTTCCTCAACCTGAACTGATTTAGCTGCTGCCTCATTTTATGATGACGAATAACAACAAACTCAATATATCAACGAGGAGAAAATCTATTATTAAACTAAGCTTTAGTTTCTATCTCACATTCTAGTGTTTTTAGGTCAGTTTTGTAGCTACTGCAACTTAAAAAGCAGTTTTTATGGAGATTATATTGTTATTATATTTTGTTATATAGTAAAACAGAACAGGTTTTAACTCAATTTTGACCAAATATGTCAATTAGACTGTGAGTTGTGTCTCTCGGCGTCATTATCGTCTGTGTGTGTGTGTGTCTCTGTCTCGCAGCCGTCCTGTACGAGCTGCTGTACGACGGCGTGTTTAAAGTCGACCGCGGCTCTCTGGGTCCGTGCCAGCGGATGAGTCGACCCTCCGACGTCCTGAGTGACGACAGCATGCCCCTCTGTGGCAGCAGCGACGAGTCCGACCTGGACGCCGGCGACGCGCTCTGGTAGGGAAACAACTCAACTTCAGATTTAAATCATTAATTAAATGGCCCTTCAGCTTAGATTTGAGTGAACGTTGATATACAGACACATAATAACTACTTTAGTGATTAATAGTTATTTATTTCTATTTATTATTAAGTGAACCACAAAACATTTACTGTATATTTAGTTCCTTCTTGGCATATTTTTTCAGTCACTATTTGTTTGTTTGCACATTTCTCCACAAATTCACTCACATTTTTTACTTTAATTTCTCTTTAATATTGTTTATTTACACATTTCCTAAAAAATAGAGTATAATATATTTGTGTGTGTGTGTGTGTGTGTTTGTGTGTGTGTGTGTGTGTGTGTGTGTGTGTGTGTGTGTGTGTGTGTGTGTGTGTGTGTAATGCAGGGTAGAAAATGGAACAAGCACGACGACTACAAGACACCAGAGTTACAGGGTAAAAGTCACACAAACACATTTAATCAATCGTGTACAAACTGAACTACCCTCATTATTGAACCTGATAATTGACTGACTGTGTGTGTGTGTGTGTGTGTGTGTGTGTGTGTGTGTGTGTGTGTGACAGGGCCGTGGGCGTGGCCGGCACCTGCCTGAGAGGGTGAGACGTTCACTGAACCCGACTCTGTTCAGAAACATAGAGTATGACGTCTGGCACAAGACCAAGAGAGGTGATTCTAACAGAGGAAGTTCTGCTGTAACAGATGGCTGATTGATAATTAATCTAATTAATCACAGAAATAATCAATAAATACAATCAGGACAATCTGCGCTGATAAAAAACAACTGAATTTAAAAGTTTTTTTTTTTTTTTTTTTTTACTTCCAGCTCAACAGAAGATGGACTATTGCATCGCTGCTGGGATGCAGTTCACTGTAGGAGACCGCTGTCAGGTGTGTGGGTGGGTGTGTGTGTGTGTGGGGGTGTGTGTGACGTGTTCAATGTCCTGAGTCAATCTCTGTTTCCTCAAGAAGTGCATTTTTCATAGTGTTTGTGTGTGTGTGTGTGTGTGTGTGTGTGTGTGTGTGTGTGTGTGTGTGTGTGTGTGTGTGTGTGTGTGTGTGTGTGTGTGTGTGTGTGTGTGTGTGTGTGTGTGTGTTTCACCTGTAGGTTCGTCTTGAGGGAGGTGGGCGGAGCTACAATGCGACCATCAAGGAGGTGTCTCCCAACAACGGCCCAGTGACAGTTTACATAGAAGATCTGGGCAAGAAGTAGGACACACACAAACACACACACACACAGTCACTCTCAGCACAGACACACACACACACACAGTCACTCTCAGACACACACACACACACACACACACACACACACACACACACACACACACAGTCACTCTCAGACACACACACACACACACACACACTGTACTCTGGTTCAAGTAAAAGTTCTGTATTGAAAATGTAAGTAAAAGTACGGAAGTAAAACCAAAAGAATACTTATACTTTAAATGTAAACTTAAGTACAGTACTTGAGTAAATGTACTTAGTTACATTCCACCACTGTGTGTGTGTGTGTGTGTGTGTGTGTGTGTGTGTGCGCAGACAGGTCCCTCTGTGGAGTCTGCGTCCTCCTCAAAGTGATGAGAACAGCTGGAGTACCGTGGTCAACCGAGACAAGAGGCTCAGCAACGGACACGGAGGTGGTGGACACACACACACACACACACACACACACACACACACACACACACACACACTCTTTTACTGTGACTGTAGAAGTAAATTGTCTGAAACTCGTTCTCTCCCCCTCAGATTGGGAGGAGAGGGGTAAAGGCAGAGGAAGGGGGAAGCAGCAGGTCCCAGCATCCTCCTCTGTTTCCCAGGCAACAGCGCCGGGCTCCAGCGGGCGTGTGCTGAAGCAGCACTCCTGGCCCCCGCAGGCCACCGTGGAGGAGCAGGCAGTGGCGAAAGCCAACAGGTCATTGTGCGTAGACGGTACCAGTTTGTATTTGAATGTGTGAGCGGGAAGCAGACAGGTTGCCGTAGTAACACGTCTCTTTACAGGAAGTCCGTGAGCTCGGTGGAGGCGGCGTTCGGTCTGACGGAGGAGCAGCGTTTGGCCAAAGAGGAGGAGGAGAGGAACGTGGCGTTGGTGGAGATCCAGCTCAGAGACGAGAACAGCTTCCCCGCCCTCGGGGTGAGTTACTGATGATGTGTCCCCCACTGGTCCCTACGTACACCCGTAGATACTGCAGAGCTCACAGCACAGAGGACGGCAGGCTCTGACCTCAGATCTGATTCATTCATTCACATTACGTTGGATTATCAGTGAGTAACGTTCAGACCTTCAACGTTCTTTCACTGGATAAACTGATACATCTCATTGGTTTAATGTACAGATTGGAACTTCTGCCACTAGAGGGTCTCTCACGTCAAAACAATAATAAAACACAGAGTTTGGTGAGGAGGTGAAGCAGTGTGGCATCATGGGAGTTGTTGTCTTCACCACCATTGCAGTCAGCTTCTCCCGGTTAGGATTCCTTCAGTGTTCATGGTTCAGGAGGTTTCTACCGGGAGCCCAATGATCCACAGAGGTCTCCTCCTCTCCAACACAAACAGACCCGCTGATTAAAACCACTAAACACACTGAATAAAGCAGTTCCACCTTAAACACACTGAATAAAGCAGTTCCACCTTAACAATCACTGCTTCTCCCACGCTGTTGGACAGACAGAGGACGTCCCGGAGGGGCTGCGAGCCGAGCTGCTGCTAACGTTAACTCAGCTTGTGTCTCTGATAACTTAAGATCCAGACGTCCGATCACTAAAATCCTTCATCCGGTTCAAATCTAGAGTTAAAAAGCACCAAGATCTAAACAGTGGATACGTTTCTCCCCCCTCAGGTGCAGTCTGGGATGCAGGGTGATGGAGGGAAGAAGAAGGGAGGAGAGAAGAGAAGATCCCAAAGAAACAAGACAGTACGTTTGTTCATTACGTCTTTACTCTTCAGTAATAGATTACATTCCTACAACAAGAAAAAAATCTGTTTCTACTTCTCCTCTTCTCTAGAAGAGTCCAGTGGAAGACGTCAGAGCAGAGTCTCCGTCTGCCGGCGAAAGACCCAAATCTTCCACCCCGCCCCTCTCAGCTGCTCCCACTACACAAACAACTACACCCACCAACCCCTCCCTTCCTCCTGCAAAACCTCCCGCTGCTCCGTCTGCTGACTCCAATCCTGGTTGGCTGAGCTCGCTCAAGGCTTCGACGCCCAACATAAACGTGGCCACCACCGCCGCCGCTGCTGTGTCCAGCTCCACCTCCACCAGTGCTGCCCCGGTCGCTAAATCAAACGCACCTTCTTACGCGTTAGCTACTGGAGCTTCACCGAGTTCTCCTCCTCCTCCGGCTGCGGCTCCGACCACCAAACTGTCTGCTGTGCCTCCCTCCGTCCCCTCCTCTGCCTCTCTCTTCTCCTTCCACACCCCGACTCTCCCCGCTGCTTCATCACCCCCGACCCCCCACGCCGGCTCCTCCTCTACTCCTCCTCCCGCCTCCTCCACCTCTAAACCTCTCACCTCCTCTTCTTCCTCTCTTCCTCCTAAATCGTCCGCCTCGCCTCCTCCTTACTCTTCACTACCACCTCCCACTTTCATCGCTCCCATCGCTCCCTCTCCCAACGCTGCCGCGCAGGGCTTCCTCCCCCGTTCCTCCCCGCCCGTCTCCTCTCTCTCCCACTCCCCGAGTCCACCCTCCTCCTCCTCCTCCTCCTCCGTTCATCATGCTGCTCAGGTCCCCGAGGCTCCACCAGCCTCAGCACAAAGTCCAAGTAAGAAACTCTTCTTTCAGATCTCTGAGACGATCTGAATGCTTCTGTAGTTATTTCATATTAATAAATATAAATAAATAAATAATATAAAAATAATATAAATGAATATAAATAAATAATATAAATAAATGAATATAAATAAATAATATAAATAAATAAATAATATAAATAAATAATATAAATAAATATAAATAAATAAATAAATAATATAAATAAATATAAATAAATAAATAAAGTCTGACTCGCCTTCTTGTTTTCTCTTTCTCTTCAGATTCTTTGCCAAATATCGGAGGAACCCCGACTGCTGCTCAGACCTTCCAAAGCCACCAGATTCATCCTCAGGGGCCTCTGCCCCAAACCCAGACCCAAACCCAGACCTCAGTGCCCCACGATGGGAACCAAACCCAGCCTCCTCTGTCCACAAACCCAACCCCGATGCCCCAGGTGCAGCCCGAGGCCCAGTCCTCTCTCGCCCACCTGCAGCACCAACCTCAGTCCCACACTGAAGGGGCCTCTCTGCCGCAGACCCACATCCACCCGTCTGTCCCCCAGCCCCAGTACCTCTCGCAGCCCCAGTCTGAGGTGGCCCAGTCCTTTCACCCAGCTTCCTACCCCCACACCTCCCAGGCCTCGGTCTCCCAGCCTCCTCACCCCTCCCAAGTCCCCCACCCCTGCCTCTCTCTCTCCGCCTCCCCAACTCACCCCTCTCACCAGTCCCAGAGCCACAACACCCAGACTCAAACCGAGGTCCCGCTCCCCCCCGCCCAACCTCTGGCCGACTCCCCCGCTCACGCTCCCTCCCAGCAGTCGCACCCTCCTCCTCCTCACCCCTCTCACCCACTCCACTTACAGTCGGCACTTCCCCCTCTTCTCCCTCAACCTCAGTCCATCCCGGGAACCGTTCCCCTGCAGCAGCTGTCCCAGCTCTACCAGGACCCCCTGTACCCCGGGTTCCCTCAGAGGGAGAAGGGCGACGTGGCTCCGACTCCCTCCTTCTCCAACAGCAAATCAGGGGAGGATCTGCCCAAAGGTGAGCTGGACAGGAGAGCTTTAAATCTGTAGCTGCTAAAGGTTATTTATTATTATTTGATTACTGGTAAATATTGTGTATATATAGATAAATATCATTTTCATGATTGTGTTGGTGATAAAAAGTCAGAAAATTGTGAAATATCTAAATCTAGAAACCAAAAACATTAGCTTCCCATGGTTCCAGGTACAAACTCTGCTGTGTACAGAGTAATATTTATATTTATTTATATTTATTTATATATATGTTTGTCTTCCAGATGTCAACATCTTGAGGTTTTTCTACAACTTGGGTCTCAAGGTAAGACAAAAGGATGAGATGATAACTCCACACGTGAACAGAGCCACTAAATGTGCTCCTGAAAGTTAATTAAACAAAGTTACGGATGTGAAATAGTTCTTAAATTAAATTCACTGTGGTCTTTAAGAAGTCTTTAATAACCCCTGCTGACACCTGAGGAAACCCTGTACATGACTCTGTTGTACTCCTCTCTCCAGGCCTACTCCATGCCCATGTTCCCCCCCTACATTTACCTCCTCCCCCTCCAGCAGGCTCACACCATGCACCCCAAGCTCCACTCCCGCTCCCCCTCCCCCTCCCCTACCCCCCACTACCCTCCCTCCAACCCCCCCGCCAGGCCCCAGGAGGCGTACCCCCACCCCCAGTACCCTCAGACGTCAGCGTCTATGCCGCCTCAGTACGAAACCCCGCTCCCCGAACCCCCCGTCCCCTCAGCGATCGCGACCCCTCCTTCAACCAGCCCGGGTACCCCGTCGCCCAGCCTCCGCCCCACGGCATGTCCGGCTCCTCGCTGCCATGGCAACAGCACCAGATGCCCCCACCCAGAAACCCCGGCTTCCCGGTGGAGTACTCCACCCAAAGTCCTCCGTATCCAGGACCCCCGCCCTTGTCTCAGGGCTACCACCCGGGTCAAGCTCCGGGACACCCGCCGTACCCTCAGAGCGCGCCCCTGTACCCCCCCTCATCACTGGGGTACCAGTCCCCATCCGCCCCCGAGGAGCTCCAGGTGAGCCAGGGGGCGATGGAGCAGCGTCAGCCGGCCAACGGGGACACGATGTCCGGCGGAGGCCACGGGCGGGTCCGCGGTCCCGCTGCTGTTAGCATGGCTAACGCTAACAACAGGACTGTGATGGTTCCTGGTTTCGGTACGTGGACGTCGTTAAATAGTTCTTATAAATAATTATCTTTAATAATTAAAAGGATTTGTAGCTGATAAAGTTTTTAAGTTCCAGTGTTTGACCACCAAAGGACAAAATGTCTCTAATGGGAAGCTTTTCTTTCCCATCAGCCCTCAAGAAGGAGCCGGGAGAGAGTTTACCAAGATCAGTGCTGCTGGTGGATCCACCGCTCAACAACACTCCTATAGTACGACACACACACACACACAGAGAGAGACACAGAGACACACACACAGAGACACACACACACACACACACACACAGACAGACACACACAGAGAGAGACACACACACACACACACACACACAGAGAGACACACACACAGAACACACACAGACACACACACACACACACACACACACACACACACACAGACACACACAGAGACACACACACACACACACACAACACACACACACACACACACAGAGCACACACACACACACACACACACACAGAGACACACACACAGAGAGACACACACACACACACACACAGAGAGAGACACACACACAGACACACAGAGAGAGACACACACACAGAGAGAGAGAGAAGACACACACACACACACACACACACACACACACACACACACACACACACACACACACACACACACACACACACACACAGAGACACACACACAGAGAGAGAACACACACACACACACACACACACAGACACACACACACACACACACACACACACAGACACACACACAGACACACACACACACACACACACACACACAGAGACACACTGTGTGGTATATTAACAGTAGTATTTGTAAATCTCTCTCTGTCTGTTGCTCTCTCTCTCTCTCTCTGTCTCTGTCTCTCTCTCTCTCTCTCTCTCTCTCTCTCTCTCTCTCTCTCTCTCTCTCTCTCTCTCTCTCTCTCTCTCTCTCTCTCTCTCTCTCTCTCAGCTGATTTCGAACCCTGGCGTCAAGGATGTCCCCGTCTCCATGACAACCATGAAGACCGGCAGCACCTCCTCCGGCTCTCCGTTGCCTTACGACCTCATCTCCAAGACGACCGTCCCCGGCGACGGCAACCCCTCTCGCGGTTACCGGGGCCACCACAAACCTCTCCACCCCTCCGGCCCTTACGTCCCTCTGGGGCCGCCGGAGCCCGGCCAGGTGAGCTACCTGCCGGCCGCTGCCATGGCGGAGGTTCTGTCTGTGGGCTGCAGCACAGAGGACAGCTGGGAGGAGACGATCGGAGGAAAACAGACGACCCTGAACCACCGAGGGCCGAAGAGGAGCTACAGAGGAGGAGGAGGAGGGGGGGGAGAGGAGGAGGAGGCCATGATCGAGGGAGGATGCCTTACAGGAGGAGACATGGAGGAGAGGGAGGGGCGGGGCTTGGCTATGTCCAGTTTAACTCCTCCTCCTCCTCCTACAGGGGGCGGGGCCGCGAGAGAGGATATTAGCTCTCAGCCAATGAGAGGAGAGGACACCTTCCTCTCCTCTCCCCACCGAGCTTCTTTGATTTCTGCTTCGGACGTTTGCTTTTTGTTTTCCTCGTCCAGTCCTCGTCACTGATTGGTGGATGGGATTGATTGCACACGCACACACACACACACACACACACAACGGACACCAGAAACAATCAGATCGATCAATCGTCTTCTGTCTGAAGCTCCGTAATCAATGTGTCTAAAGGCTCCAGCTGTCAGGGTTTCTTCACGGCAGGTGGAAGTTTCTCAGCAGTTTAAACTCGTAGTAACTGTTTCCTCCTGTTACATTAACCCAATCGCTTCAATCTTATCCAAAAGAAAACAACTATTTCTATAATAGGACGTCAGAATTCGGACTCTCCTGCGTCCCTTGAACGCCACATAACAACTGCGTGCTTGGCATGTCCGTACAGCTTTAGACACATTTAAACACAATTCTGCAACAAGCGAGCACTTTCTTCTCAGCGTGTTAAACATTTGATTTAATGTCACTAAATATGATTTAAGAGTTGGTATTTCTGCTTTAAAGCCAATAGGATAAATAAATAGGAAGAGAGCTCAAACTGAAGCTGTGCGAACGTCGTCTTTGGTTTGTTTTAATTGTCTGCTGCTGGTCTCGTGTCCCTGTCCTCTGTGTAAATGTCTTCTTTCCTGGGTTTTGTTTTCCTTTTGATTATGTTTGATTAACTCTTGAGAACTCTAGAGATTCAGTGCCTTACGTTTGCTGCTTCTTGTCTTTTTTTTTTTCTCCTGAGTTTGGGAAACACTGCTGTACAGAACAAAGGCTGTTGTTGTCTGTGTTGGATTTTTCTATGCGGTTGAATAAATAAAACTTTGGTTCAGATGCCGTTGCGTTTCGTAGACGTTTATTTAATCAGAAACTTTCAGAGGGACGAGGTTCAGCTGGTGAACGTCGGAGCTTAAAATCTAATTCAAGATAAATCCCTTAAATATTGTTTAAGATTTTTAATTTGATATATAATTCTCCAAACTTAAGACAGAAGCTGTGACTTTGAATCTCTGTTTGTTTTGTACGAGATAAAGAATATAAAACTACAGTAATTTATACAGAATAAATAATTAAAAGTCACATTTGAGACATTTGATGGAAGAAATACTGATATTTAACAAATGTGCTACGTAACAATAACAGTGTAACAATACTCTGGTTAAAGAGTTTACTTAAGTACTTAAAATATACTTTAAGTATCCAAAGCACTCAGAATATAATTACTGATGCAGTCACATTACGGTTTAATAACAATGTGAATTTACCCTAATCAGGGTCATTACTTACACCTGTGTTTACCCTAATCAGGGTCATTACTTACACCTGTGTTTACCCTAATCAGGGTCATTAGTTACACCTGTGTTTACCCTATCTATAAGTTTGCAGATCCTTAAACTTCTACCAGGTTTGTGGAGAACTAATAACATTCCCATCAGCCTCAGCTGTACTTTATAACTAAATATTATACCCAATGACAGAATGTAACTGAGTACATTTACTCAAGAGTCAGAGTAACTTTTTACTCCACTACATTTCTGTTACTTTCAGATGAATACAAGATAGATTTAATGAATTATAATTTATTATACAGCAGTTTATACATTAGCTCTCTGATATCTGAAGATACATTTTTACTTTATATCCACCTGAACACAATAATTATTATTAATTATTAAAATAATAATCCTATAATGCATTTTATTCTGAAACAGGAAGTACTGCATGAGGAGATTGTTTCCTTTGAATGAATCTTTGGAGTCCTGAAGGTGAATATTTATTATTTAATGAATAAATAAAAAACAAACATTTGTGTGTGTTCAGAGTTTCCGCTGCCGCACTCGGTGTCAGCTCTCTACAGAAAGTGTTGCGTAATAAAAGAAGGGAGAAACTGCTCTTGGATCAGATAGCATCAGTTTATTATCATTTGTTGTAAATGGATGAGTGTTAAAATATGCTGCTTAATGTTCCACAATGTCGCTGGCTTGTGAATCCAGCCCAGTATGTTCAGGCTGACGGACACAGAATGCAATGCACTTTTTATTTTAAACGCTTCACAACATTGCCGGCTACTGAACGCAGCCCGGGACACAAAGGCTGATGGGATTTTTTTTTTTATTGATTTTTTTCTCTTTCTTTATGACTTAATAACATATCTGCTGTTTTGTTGAACGCAGCCTGGTTTGTGGTAAATGTCGAGGCTGCGCTCTGACTGCTCCTGAACGCAGCCCCGCCCGCCGGAGCGCCACAGGAAGTCACGATTGGTCACACAGGAAGTCGTCTTAGTCGTCCAGGAAGAAATAGTTCCCGCTCTTCTTCTGTTCCGTGTCCTGGGAGAAAGAGGGCAAAGGTCAGACTCAAATACGGCCGTCCACAGTACCTGCTCTTTGGGTCAGTGGTCTTCAACCTGGGGTCCGAGGACCAACCGGGGTCCTCGAGTAAGTTGTATTAAATATTTTATTTTACTATAAAAAGTTTTATAATCTTAAAACCTCAAAATAAAATATAAAGTCATTTCCTTTTATCATCATTGTTGTTGTAATTCCTACAAGTCACCAGCAGAGGTCAGTGGAGGTTTATCTGTGTGTGTGTGTGTGTGTGTGTGTGTGTGTGTGTGTGGGTTTTAAAATGTTTTTTTTAGACTATACGATGAATCAATAATAAATGAATCTATATTTGAGCTTTACTGTCTTAAAGGGCTCAAACTAACGATTGCTGTCGTTATTAATCAAATGTTTCGTTGTATAAAATTTTAAAATAGTAAAAAGCTGAGCTGACAGATTCAGTTTATTTAATAAAAGAATCTATATTTTAGAGCTGTTGGGCTTTTATAAAAATAAAAATTTTATATTTTACTGTCTTAAAAAGGGCTAAAAACAGCAAATACCGACGTTAGAATGACGTTTCTGCTTAGAGATGGAAAATTAAATCAATTAAAAGATCAAAATACAAAAAGTGCCAGTTCGTCTGTAATCCACTAATGGTTTGCTCTGGGATATTTTTTATTTTCTTTGTTTTCTACAACAGTAAACATCTTAAATATGAACTATTAACTGAATTCCTTCTGCATTTAAACCTTCGTAGATGGTGTGACGGTGTAGTACCGGAGCGGCCACCGGGAGGCGCTGTGTGTTTCTATCTGTTAGTACCTTGATGGAGTTGAGCTTGTTGATGCGCGGCCTGAAGTTGTTCGGGTCTCTTCTGAACGTGATCTCCAACAGCGACAGGAACCGGTTCATCCCGGCCAACAGACTCTGAGGACTGAACAGAAGGTGGGACGTTATTCGAACGTAACGCGCCGCCGGGGTCGATGGCGAGGGCTTTTAGAAACGTGCGTCTGGGTCTTACGTGTTAGCCGCGGTATGCCTGGAGGGAATACCGTCGAACACGATGACTCTGTCGGCCAGGTAGGTCGCCATGATGAAGTCGTGCTCCACCACAAACGCCGTCTTCTTCGCGTGGAGGATGTACCTGCAGGCAGACACACACACACACACCAGAGTCAGACAGACAGGCAGGCAGGCAGACAGGAGGATGAAGGGGAGGGTGGAAGGGAGGAAAGAGAGGAAATAAAAAGTGTTGGTGACCTCTTGATGACCCTGGCGGCCATCAATCTCTGCTCTGAGTCCAGGTAGGCCGAAGGTTCGTCGATCAGATAAACGTCGGCAGGTTTCCCCAAACAGAGAGTGAGAGCGACTCTCTGCAGCTCGCCACCAGACAGGTTCTGCACCTGAGGGAGGAAGAGGAGGAGGAGGAGGAAGAGGAGGAGGAGGAGGAGGTGAGTCTCGGTGAACACGGTGTGAATCTATCGGACTTTTTCCTCGAGCGCCACCGCGAGCGTCACATCCGCGGCTTTGAGTGAAACGTATCAACAAACGTCTGCCAATAAACAGGAAGGCTTTTATTGTGAAAATCTTACTGGAAGTTGCTTTCAGGGCGACATTAATCGGTGCTGTGAGAATATAAACGTTCACCGTGTTTGGGAACATCGGGGGGAAACAGGAAGTTACAGACTGTTACTGGTTCATGCAGATGTTTGAACTGGAGCTTAAAGTTGGATTAAAGATGAACGGTTGCTGTGGTAACGGATAAATCACAAACTGATGGAAGCGTGAGGCGTCTCTACTGTCTTTGATTTCCAAAGAATTTGACAAAAAAATGCAACTATTTTTTGTGTGTGTGTGTGTGTGTGTGTGTGTGTGTGTGTGTGTGTGTGTCTTACATCCTGGTCTATGATGCTCTCTATCTGCATGGGCTTCATGACGTCGGTGATGAATTGTGGGTGAGTGTAGGCGTCTCTGATCTTCTCGTGCAGCAGAGCTCTGACGCTGCCCTGCACACACAAACAAACAAACAAACAAACAAACAAACACACAGATGAATTATTTCACCAACAACACTCAATGAAGCTCGTTAATCCACAAGTTTTAGAATCGATTCATCATTTTAGACACTTTTTCAGAAAGAAATCTAAAATGTGTTGAAATTTGATTTCCTAGTTTTCTCCTACGATCATTAACGGTTAGTTTCTGGATTATTGGACGGACACAAACATTTGAAGGAACTTTTCACACGCCCTAAAAGAATTGATTAACAGAGAATATAATCAGTATTTGCAGCCTCAGACAGAACACACAGTCTCTGGATGTTTCCACTGAGAGATAAACCTGCTCGGAATATAACTTCTATTATTGTTATATCACTGAAACCAACAGAATGAGCCTTTAATAGTCAGACTGCTGTTTAACGCTGAGGAAGAGGAGGAGGAGGAGGAGGAAGAAGAAGAGGAGGAGGAGGCTGATGGAACAGACCTTGAACTTGGGGCTGATGGTCTGAGGCTTGTAGCTGACGTTGAGGATGGGAACCTCACCTGAAAGAGAGAGAGAGAGCAGGTTGAGTGTAAACTGTACGGTGTGTGTGTGTGTGTGTGTGTGTGTGTGTGTGTGTGTGTGTGTGTGTGTGTGTGTGTGTGTGTGTGTGAGTGAGAGATCCAGCAGAGGGCGCTCCACTGTCAGCACACCGTACTGTTGTGTGTCCTGTAAGATACGTTGCCAAGACAACGTCAATGGAAACATGAGACACACACTCACCTCCTCCGTCAGATTTGAGTCCTCCAGCCAACATCCTGATGAAGGTGGTCTTCCCCGTTCCTGCAGACACAAACATCATCATCACATTCACTAATTTAACAGAAAGCAAAGTTCCAGCAGCTCCAACAGATTCTTTAAAATAACATTCAGTCTAAAAATGACTGAATGTTGCTTTACACCAGAATCTTTCAACAGATTAAATCCTGGATCATAAAGTGCAGCCTGTACGTGGTCGTAATAAAGCGGCGCTCACCGTTCTCTCCCAGCATCACCATGATCTCAGAGTCCGTGAACTCTCCCGCTTTGATCTCCAGCGTGAACTCGCCCATCGTCTTCCCCATTTCTGGATACTGAACAACAACAACAACAACGAGTCAGACGTCAGCAGAAGAAGAAAGAAAAAGGGAATGGTGTGAGGAGGAGGAAGAGGAGGAAGAGGAGGAGTTAACCAGAGAGAAATCTAAAGACAGACCTGGTAGTGCCTGAGCCTCTTCACCTCCTCCTCGTTGGCCGTCTCCGCCACCTTGAAGACCAACGAGGTCTCCCGAAACCTGAGATTCTCCGTGGGGACGTAACCGTCCAGGAAGATGTTGATACCTGAAGAAGACGATGAGGAGGAGGTTATTACAGGAAACACTGTGGTTCACTCACAGCTGATAGATGATGATGATGCCCAAATTAAATGTAAGAGCTTTTAAAGATGATATAAAATATAGTTTAACAGCTGATTCCTGAGCAGATAGTCAGAGAATTATTATTTATTATTATTTATTACATAGAGAATGAATTCATATCATTTTATTGTCCGTACTTTAATCAATTAATATGACTGGGACTGGGATTAGCAGCCTGAAACTGATGGATTACACATTATATATTATTATATTATATTATATTAAGTGTGTAACGTCTCCTCACAACCATTCATAAAACAACACATAGTTAACGTCACGGTCTATAGCAGCAAAGAGACAACATTAAAGACATCTGTACATTAAATTTAAGACTATTTATTATCTTCTGAGAACTTTTCTGTGCTGATTTAACTAAATTCAATGTTTATAAAGACTTTACGACCCGCAGAGAACATTATTGTTTCTGAATCTTTCACTGAATTCAGACAGATCGGTGATTATTTAGAGTTTCTAAGTTCCAGTAGATATTATTGTTGGTGTTCCCGGCTGTAGTGAAAACATACCGACCCAACAACCGCAGCATGTTTAATGAATTCATAAAAAGAATAATCATTTAGCAGCGGTTAACGTGTCCACTGTGTGTGTGTTTTTACCCTCTCGGACGCTGAAGGGCATGGTGACGACTCCGTAGGCGCTGGGGACTCCGTACAGACAGCAGATGAAGTCAGACAGGTAGTCCAACACACTCAGGTCGTGCTCCACCACAATAATGTACCTGAGACACACACACACACTTATAATACAGATAATGTAATATGTGGATTCAGAGAATAACTGATGAGCAGATGAAGCTTTGAACTCAGAAGCACAGCGACATCTGGTGGTTGGAAGAACTTACTGCAGCCAAATACATAACATTAATATAATATATTTAAATATAATAATATTATAATATAATATATTCTATCTGAATGTACCTTACTGAGGTAGTTTAGGCTCAGCTGACTCACGTTTTAACTTCACAGTTTATGAAATACTTCACAGGAATCAGATGATATTCATTAATTTAACAGATTACTTTATCAGTTGGTATCAGGTAGAACTGTTCTTACTTCTGGTTGTGCCGATCACATATGTTTATTTATTGAACTACCAGAATAAAAGGCTGCAACCTTTTTAAGGAAAATGAAAATATCTGCTGTACTATGTGTTATTTGACTTTATTAGAACTTTATATCCTTTTTATTAACACTGACTGGAGCTCAGATGTTGTGTGATTATCATCTTAAGCTGCATTAAACTAAAAATCTTTCTGAAGTGACATTAGAGTTTGTGGTTTTCTTCAGTTGACACGATGTGCTGATCATCCGTCTACCTGGAGGAATGAACGACAGGTAATCTGTTTAAACGAGCGGCTCTACCTGTCCGGGGTGATGAGAGAGCGGATGGTGATGGCGGCCTTCAGCCTCTGTTTCACATCCAGATAACTGGACGGTTCGTCAAACATAAAACTGCAGCAGAGAAACAAAGAGAACGGCGTTCAGCTCGGAGGTCAGAGGTCAAATAACAACGATAATGACGATCCGTGGTCGGTCGGCTCCTCACATGTCGGCTCTCTGGATGCAGACGACGGCGCAGGCGAACCTCTGCAGCTCTCCTCCGGACAGATCCTCCACGTTCCTCTCCCGCAGGTGACTCAGATCTGCACCAATGACAACGCAGACGTGGATCGATCAGAAGTGTGACTGATAATCAGATGTATTGATTACATGGATGATTAACAGTCACTGGCTTGTGTAGCTTTGTAAGTTTCTTCAGACGGAATCTCTGAGCTTACCGAGCTGTTTACAGACGATGGTCTGTGTGTCTGTGTCGTCCTTCCTGGTCAGGATGGACCCTACTGACCCCTGGAGGCAGAGATGTGGAATTACAGCCAGTCCTAGATCACTACTACTTTCAGCACTGAACGTGACCTCTGAGCGGTGAACTCATTTACCTTCACGGTCTTCGGGATCTGGTCGACGTACTGCGGTTTGACGATGGCCCGCAGGTCGTCCTCCAGGATTTTGGTGAAGTAGTTCTGCAGCTCAGAACCTCTGAAGTAGGTCAGGATCTCCTGCCAGTCTGGAGGATTCTGGTGTGGAAAAACAACAGTCACATCATCAACAGAACAACATAAGACACAGCAGAGACAGTACAGGAGTTTACAGTGACGGCAGCTCTATATGTAGTTGAGTTGAACTTAAATGATCCCAGATGTTTCCAACAATCAACCAAAAACCATCCACGGTTTAGATCTTGGTGCTTTTTAAATATCTTTGGTGACGTAATGAAGTGGAGGTGGATATTTTCTGTTCTGATCAGGTTTGATATAATCTTGAATGCTTCAGAAGATAAAGCGAGCAGCGACGCCCACTCTTTATCTCCTCAGCACAGCCACAGCGGTGAACAACAATCACACTCGACATTCTCAGCGCCACACGAGGAGGAACGTGGCCGCCTCGCTCTCGCTGTTCTGGGGGGGGCGGGGGAGACACTCACATCGTACTTGCCCAGGTTGGGTTTCTGTTTTCCAGCCAGGATCTTCAGAGCTGTGGACTTGCCGATACCATTGGTCCCCACCAGCCCGAGCACCTCACCGGGCCTGGGTATAGGCAGCCTGCACACACACACACACACACACACACACACACACACACACACACACAATGTACAAACAGTCTATTAGAGGTAGAAGTCCATTTAAACTGTACTGTGGTTCCCAATCTAGGGGTCGGGTCCCTTCGAAGGGTCACTGGATTAATCGGAGGGGTTGGGAGATGATTAACGGGAGAGGAACGAAGAGAAAATAAAGTCCTCAGATTAAACTTAGTTTTTGTTTTTGACTCTTTGGGCCGCTAACAAACAGTCAAGAAAATGTGCTGAAGAGCAACAATCTGGATAAATAACATAATACTGACATTGTGACATGAGCTCACGTCGATCCTCGTCCAACAACAACAACAACTGATCCAGTGTTGTCGCTTTCACGTCGGAGAGAGAGACAGAAAACAACAAACAAAGATTTCTAACAACCGAGTATTCGGGGCTCGAGCGCCACACGAACACGGTGTGCGTACCGGTGCAGTTTGAAGGAGTTGGCGCAGTATCTGTGTGTGGTTTCCTTCTCCAGGTTGCTGGGCAGGTTGACGATCGACAACGCTCCGAACGGACATTTCTGTAACGACAGAGCGCCGTCAGGAGAGACGGGAAAACACAGAACACCTGGCAGCAATGACTCTCTAAGACTACATCGGAAGATTTAGTTGTTAGTCTAGTTTATCTGAGGGACAAATCACTGATCTACATGAGAATATTCTACGATTTCTGCCCACTGAAGATGATTGAATAGAGTCAGAAATGTGTGTTACCTTGATGCAGATGCCGCAGCCTATACACAGAGACTCTGAGATCCAGACGATCTTACTCTGTGGAGTCACCTCGATACACAGCTTACCTGCAAACACACACATTACGATATTAAAAAAAAAAATCAGCGTTTATGTCGTTAAAGCCGAGTGTACGTTCAGGGACCGGGTGTGAGCGCCACACTCACCCATTCGGACCACCGGGCAGCTCTTCTTGCACTCCTGACGGCATTTCTTCGGTTTGCATTTGTCGTGGTTGACGATGGCGATCCTGGTGTTTTTATCCGCCATGATGGAGGGCTGGAATGACGGACGCTAGCACCTGCGGAGCTGAGGGAGAAAGGTGAAGTGAAGAGGAGCAACCATTAAATCCTCCTATCTGAACACACACACACACACACACAGGTAATGGTGATATTCAGGTACCAGAGCCGACAGACAATATCTAAACGTAGGGTCCACAAACGCACCGTTCACTCTGCTGAAGCAACACATTCAATTCTGAACAAAAAAACGCACAGCCTCTGCTTTTAACAAAAGGGCTGCCATACATCTACGACCACACATCCCCTCACTGCGGGCTCCACCGGCTCCACCAGCTCCACCGGCTCCCCACTGGAACCAGACGTAATGGTTTCATACAGATACTGGTTTAATGGAGTTTGATTTTAAGGCCTTTAGGAGGATGCAGTGATGTGAATGAAACTGCTGCGAACCAGTCCAGTTAACGCTTTGCAGTGTTTTGGAGTAGAGAGTGAGTCACACCAGACTCCATTTAAAAATCTGGCCTTTTTATTGTTGCCTGGCCACACAAACAGTACACGCCTGGTCCTACGTGACTGCAGGGCCTTTAACCATTCAGTGGTCTCCGCATTCTCCATGAGACATACCTTTAAACACATAAAGTGAAACATATCAGGAATAACAAATAAAGACTGTATTGTGGATTAGTCTCATTCTCTCGACTACATCCGAGCGCAACGTGACGGGCGGTGGCGAGCAGCACCAAAGTTGGATTTGTCCTCCAATAACCTGCCGACCAATGACTCATTCATGAGCCGAACTCATCAATCAAACCTAACGTTTCACAAAACACCTCCAATCGTGAGCTTTTTTGTTCACACCTTCGTTAAAAAGGCAGAAAACCTTTAAATTGGCAGATTATTGAACGGAGTTTGGCGCACCATCCTTTTTCGGTGCCAGAAACAACGTAATCTTTATGTTTTATGGCTCCGCTCTGGCAGCAGTTATAAACCCGCACTGTGTGACTACCAACCGGCTCTATAAGTAATCTCTATCTGTTAATGTAACGCCACACTGTGAGTTACATTAACACCGTTACCGTTACCGTTACCCGCTGCTAACGGTCGGCTAGCGGTTAGCAGCGGAGGCCCCCCCGCACTCTGACAGCTGCTCCGCGGGCCAACAAGCGGCTCCTTCTCGGGCCAATAAAACCCCGAAAAACGAACAAAATCCCGGCCGCTGCGTTAACAACTCACCCCTCTTCGGCTCCCGTCCCGCGACCGTGAAGAAACCCGCCGAGAAACGACGTGTAGGGACAAACAATCGGGGCTGAAACTTC